CACTTAATTAATATCGAAGGATCAAAATAATACCCAATATCTAGCCCAAAACCGCCCAATTACTTGTCTTCCAACTTTGTAGGAATTGGTAACATCATGTGTCGTCCAGCATATCTACTCTCACTGTGTTCTAAATAATATCATAGAGCCACAACAGAAATTTATAAGGGTACCATAGACTGCAAAGAACAACTTATCAACACAATCATTTCTAATCAGGCATACATAAAAAATCTTTTACTGTCTTCATTCGCTACAAGACCACATTTGATTCAGTAACACATGAATGGCTTATAGGTATTATTAAGAATATATAAAGTCGATGATAATATAGTGACCTTTTTAAAGCATATACAGCATAACAGATTGGAAAACTAAAATTCACCTTAAAATACCTGGTGAAAACAATAGTTTTCTTTCCAAGGGGACTCCAAGGATATACTCGTATGAATGAATTGAAATTAATGACTTCCACTCGAAACCATCTAGATCAGATGCTCAAAACCGTAGAAACTTTCTCGAGTGATGCATTTTGGACTAGACCGTGCCGATGCAAGTGCAGTGTTCTAAATATAGTCAGAGAAAAGATTCAGACGGGAGGATTCGATATACAAAATAGCGAAAATATAGAGGCCATGGGTGAAAATGATATGTAAGTACTAATACCTCGGAGTAAAGCAAACGCGAAAAAATCCACAAAAAATGAAAACCGAACTAACTTCGCTACGCATTTTATATTGGTACACTTCATTGGTATTGTAAAGTGGTCTAAAACGGATAAAGAGGGTCTTAAGCAGAAAGTGAGAAACCTTCTCAAAAAGGCACAAAAACATCATCCCCGAAATGCAATAGACAGAACAACATCACCGCGACGTCTAGGGGAAACAGGACTTATGAATACAGATTGACAATTAGAAAATCAGTTCAGAAACAGAACTTTACATCGCGCAATTTGTACAGTGGATAACAGTGCGCTTAAGTCGAGAGAACAAGAAATGCGCCTAAACCATATTTCTAATGAAGAAAAAATGCGGAAATAGATGAGTTAACTTCTGCATGGACGACAAATGCAGATGTCTCCTGATGTCACAGGGATGCAAAAACTTCCTAACCATTCAATATTTGTATGTGAGAGGTGACCAATTGTGAAACAAAGTAGTAATGAAAAAAAAAATAGCGATAATTGAATTTCATATAAGATGCGACTGGTTGTAATGAAAATGTTTTAATTTATTAACCTTGCTGCAAAATAGCAATCAATCCTGTTTTTATCCAATGCTTTTCAACCAGTTAGATTTCAGCTAGAACCTTCGTAATTCACCTAAAAAATCTATATAATATAATAAAACAGTCCACCAAATTTCATTAAGATCCATTCAATAATAATTACATAATAATTGTTCATTTTAAAATAAAAAAAATAAAAGTTTTGAAATATCTTGCACAACAAAAACTAAACCATATAGAAGTTTGCCAATTTTTATCTAATCTAATAAAAGGCTAGAACGACATGTCACACGTAAACGAAGTTTGTCAGGTACAATAACTCCTAGCGCCACCTAGGAAAGAAATCTGAATTACCAACTCACATTTCAACCTTAATCAATCCATCATCGTTGTATATTTACGCAGTGGAAAAAAAAATAAAATACTCATTTATTAGAAAGTATTAAATTTATAATATTTTGCTATATGTTGCTATATATAATAAAATGCAGAAAACGGCATAAAGACGTTTCTTTAAAACATATTATATACTTTCTATAATGGAAATAAAATAATTTTTAATTAAATTCTATAAATTAATTCTAATAACATAAAATTATATTTTTCTGAAATTCATTTTTATTAATGCCTATCATAAAAAATTATTAAAAATAATTTTAATTTGTTGAAACAAATATTGTTTAAATAATTATACCGCTTTCAAATGGAAAAATTTGTATTTAGAGCGTTAAAAGGTACACGTTTGGTAAATTGTTTTAAAAGATAATATTGAAAAAATATGTAATTTTATTTTGTTATAAATAAATAAATTTTTGGTAATGTGTTAGGTCCGATGGAGGGTTAACCTTCATCAGACTGGTCGGGATCTATTATGACCCCAGATCACAATTGTTGGCTGTTACTTTATAGATCTTAATTTTTAATCGGCAGTGTTCCATCTAACGAGTTTATATATTGTATTGATAAAAAATTATGCCTACAAGAACATTTAACGGTTAGATTAAATTTAAACTTCAATTTTATAGGCTGGGGTCTCCAAATACCCCGGCTAGCCTTTTATGTCATATGAAACGAATTCTAATAAAGCTGTAATAATGTGGGAATCCCATAGATTTTACGGATTAGTACCGACTATGTTTAAATAGGAAATTTCCCGAGCTCCGATAAAATTTAACGAAATAACATAAATGTATTGAGTTCCAGGTTCCAGGTGTCAGTTGGTTACTTGTTGTAGACATGCTCTAGGACTTACAAATTACAGCGATGATATATCAAATATCAAAAACGTTTTCCTTCTGTTTTTTTTTTCAGACGAACGTCTAAACATAATTGCCATGGAAACTAATCGGAAGGAAGGCTCAAGCGTATTACGATAAATGGAATAGTGAAAACCCAAACAAAACTAAAGTGTATGTTTGTGTTGATTCTGTAGAGATTCAAGCCTATATTGGAGTATTGCTTATACCTGGAGCATTTCATGGATCGAAAGAGGTAATCGATATTACTTACTGTCGTCCTATAATACCAGCTGCTATGTCTAGAGATAGGTTCAATCAAATAACTTCATTTCTACATTTTGGCAATTTTGAAACCAGACAAGAACGAAAATCAGTAGATAAACTGGCCTCAAAAAAGAGATGTATGTGATATTTTTATTTCTAATTCACTTAATTCAGGCGACCTTCTTCTTCTTTGCGTGCCATATCAGATTTATCCGACGTTGGCGATCACCATTGCGATGGCTTCTCGATCTTCTGTGTGTAGATGAGCAGCTCGTGCCTTTTAGAGGTAAAGCACTATTAAGAGTTTATATGAAGAGCAACCTTACAAGTACGGATCTTGACCCAAGATATGGGTCCTTGTAGACTGAAATACTTCTTTTATTGTATTTATGCAAATTTATTTGGGTAAGTTTTTGAATTGCCAATAAGAAAACAAGAAAATTTTTACATTTATTAATTTTTAGGAAAACAGGGTCCTAAGGCGGAAAAAGCTTAAGGCCAAAAGAGTTGTCCTAGACTTTGATAGACCATTTGGAAGGAGGGTTTGGAATAATAACTGATATTTTTCTTACGAGTTTACAACTTGCGAATAAGATGGGAGAAGAATATAACCTTATGTGGAACTCTTTGAAAAAATAAAACGTTTATTCCAATGGAGCTTCTACCAGCATCATATAAAACAGATTATTTAAGTATGTTTGCTTTTAGAAAACATCGAAAGTTAGTCTCTTATATTCCAAAACCAAGAACGGCAGTCATCTTACTTTCAAGTGAGCATGTTGACGACAAAGTGGCTGGTGAAGAACACTCCCATAAACCCGAAAGTATTCTATATTACAACAAAACGAAAGGAGCCGCCGATACAACCGACAAGTTAGCGAAACTAACGAAGTTAGCGGTACAAAAAAAAAAACAAACCGTTGACCGATGGCGATATTCTTTCATATTTTGCCATTGATGTCGCAGGTATTAATTCCTATAAATTGAGCTACTAAAATATCCTGATTGGAAAAAGCACAATATCAGTAAGCGTAAAATGTATATTTTGGCACTAGGTAAGGAACTTATAAAGGAATATGTTTTCAGACGTTATAACAATAAGCACATCAAAAAGAATAAAAAGCGTCATATAGCAGGTGTGTTCCAAGAAATTTTGAAAATTACTGAGCCTAGAGTAGAACAAACAAAAAATACAAGGGTGTTGTAGAGGCAAAGACACAAAAAACTTGAGGCCCGTCCGATGAATGTTAAAGAAGTGTCTTTCAGAGTCTTTTCCAACGCCATTTTCTGAATTTAATTTAAGTAATCTAATATTTACCTATTTGTTTATAAGCCAAAAAATTGTTTCAAATTTAAAAAAAAATTTCTGATGCCGCCCAAATAGTCAGATTATAATTCTATAATATGTCTTGTGATAGGTGAAGTGCTTATTTATATGCAAAATTTGACAAATTTCTATATGTTTATAGAATAGTAGGTATAGTTTTTGTTGTGTAAGATTTTAAAGAATTTATTTTTTTTTAATTTAGATTGCAAAATTATTATGCGAAATCGATTAAATCGATTTTAATATAATTTGGTGGATTGTTTTATTATATTATAAAGATTTTTTACGCGAAGTACGAAGGTCCTAAGTGCAATTTAATTGGGTAAAAAATATTGAATAAAAACAGGCTTGTTTTCCCACCTTTTTGTATTTATTGCTTTTTGCAGTAAGGATAATAAATTAAAACATTTTTAATCAGTCGTATCTTATAGGAAATTTAATTATCGCTCTTTTTTCTACAATTTTGCTTCAAATTAAAGTGTTTTAAAGTTATAAACAAGGAAATTGGGAAAAAAATTATTTTTAATAATTTTTAAATATTTTAATTTTTTTTATTAATATTCCCAACTAATTTGAGAGGGAGGATAATTCAATAATTATTAATGAAGTTATTACAGAATTTTTTCTACAAAAATGAGAATTCCACCTTTCACATCTAGCTCAAAACGGATTCTTCCTGGTCTAAATTTGAAACTCAAATGTTTCCCTGAAATGACACAGTGCTAATCGAACAAAGTAGACAAAGAGCAAGCAACATACTAATTTATTATACAAATCATAAAAACCCGCCTATCGATCTAAAGGTTTTCATTAAAAATTATAAAATTGAGATAACTAAATATTTTATAAATAATTAATTATTTATATTATCATAATGCTGTTTGCCATAAAATATTTTATTCATTCAAAATTAAGTCTGGTTTTAAGTTCAGACATTGTCCGGTTTAAATTTGGTAATAATTTGAATTTAAATCTGTAAAAGATAATCTCAATAAGTTTTATGTGTAAAATTGAAAATGGAAGTGTTAGTAGGTATTTAATTTCATCATTTCTATGCTATTTATTCGGATAAAAAAGGTAATACTACATATAGATATAAAAACGTTAATCATGCCTATAAGAATATTTATTAGAAGTTTTACTTACCCTTATGTAGTCTCAGATGAGCGGAGAAATCAACAACGTTCGAGAAATTAGATGAACACTGAGGGCATTTATAGGGCTTGTCATTGTTCTCGTGTTCCTTTCTATGCTTCAGTAGTTTGTAATAAGAAGGTACTACCATCATACATATCTTGCACTTGAAAATCGGCTTGTACTGCATCATTTTGCTGGCGGAGTACTTGAATTTGTATTCTGCATATTCTTCAGGGATCCATTCGGCACGACTTTCAGTGTCGCTGTCTTCATCGTCGCCCCTATCTCTTCTAGGGCTTGGTGCTGTAACGTTAACCTCGGGAGTAATAGGCCTTTGGAATATCGACTCTTCCGTCTTAGAATTATTGTCTTCCGACAAGTTTTTTATAGGTAACTCTTTTTTCATCCATACCTTACTGAACATTTCTATAATTGTCGGCTGCTTCAAGGGGGATTTCTTTTCTTCCGGAGAATCAGATTCTGCAGGCTTTACAACAGAAGTACTCGGCTTAAACATTTCGAGACTGTCAGATCTACGTACACTGCGAGGAGATGACAAAGCTTGTCGAGGGGTTATAGGTCTCGGTGGAGTATCTGGCACACGAGGAGTTTCTATGACCGACCAAAGCTTTTTAGGTTTGCCGTGGTCGTCGATGTACGGTACGAGCAATTTGCGGCGCTTCGAAATCAATTCTTGACAGGGCATTTCGTTACCTTCTGGACTGCTGTATTCTTTTTCAGCATTTACTGGATTTTCTTTTTCGATACTTACGAGCTTATCCTTGGGTATTTCTTCTTCTTCGTCGGGATATACCAGAATCTCAGAGTATAAGCGATCTTGTTTTAAAATTTTGATCTTAGACGAATGCCCCTGAGAATCTGACGGATTTCGTTCTATAAGACTTACAGATGATTCAGGGATTTCAATTATCTCATTTTCTGTTACAGAAGTAGCAGGACCTGGCTTCCTACTACTTCCAAATATTGAACTTTTTTGTGAATTACTCGTGGCATAAGAATTAATTGGTGTAGAAGATTTTAGTTCTATTTTTGACGTTTTCTTGTGTCTACTTTCGGAAAGCGGTGTGTCGAAATCGTTCAATTTCGGGACACTTTTGTGCCTTAAAGGCGTAACTTCTGGTTCAGACTCATCGAAATCAAAGACAGTAATATCATTTTTCTTAAGGTCGATATTTTCGTCTTCTTTATCATCACCAATAGCCATAGCTGCCATGTGTCTACTTACAAGTGTACTTCTATAACTTCTTCGCTTCTTTTCGACTGACTCTGGTTTCTTGCATTTATTTGTTTTATTCATCTGGTTTGTAACATCCGACTGAAAACTAGTCTCATCTTTTATCATAATGTCATCTTCTTGCGTCGTGACGACTAATATCTCGTCATTCTTACAATAATTTTTCTCCTCTTCTAATTGTTGTATTTCTTTCTTAGGGGGGTGATTCTCTTTCGATTCAGATCCGCCCGATGTGTTCTCGTCATTTTTGGCATTCCGTAATTTTTGTTTCAAAGCTGCTTTCGTCTGCATCATTTTCTTCTTAGCAGCTAAAAAGGCTTCCCTCTTAATCCTTTCAGGTTTTGTATTTTTTTTCTTTTGTGTCTTGAGTGCTATTTTCTTTTGTTTGATTTTCTTCCTTATAATTTTCGATTCCTCTTTAAAGAGTGTGTTTCTAATTTCTTGTATGATTCTTTCGATAATATCGTTGTTGTCCCAGTCTAAAGATCTCTTTTTATTGAAAGAAGATTTGTTTGTTCTGGAAGGCCTTTTAAGAATGTTCTTATTTTTTGAATTCTGTAACTTTTTCGTGATTTGTTTTAGTACTTTTTGTTTTGATTTGTTGGACATTTTTTTCAACTTCGACTTGTCAATGATGTCAGTCTTTAAAATTTTCTTTTTGGTAGCTTCTTTATTTCCTGCAAACGCTTTGGATAACTTTGTCTTATTTTTAATAATATTTTTACTCTTTTCCGAAACGCCTTTCTTCTTTTTGGCAATTTTGTGTTCTTTGGCTAGTCTTGACTTTTTAGTATCTTCTTTAACTTCATAAATACTATCAATCTCTTTTACATTTTGTGATCTCAGTACTCTAGTTTTACTTTCCTTTGTGTCTTCAATATGATTTGAAGTGATTTCGGAAGCATCAGAATGTTGTTTGGGTCTAGGTTCACTATGTATTAAAGCTACCACCTTCTCCACAACAGGTTGGGCGATATTTACTGCCCTTTCTTTTTCAGTTTGATTTACACTTGACCGTAAAGTTTTCAATGGAGTGTTGATCTGCTTTTTGTTTCTCTTTTCAGGTACAATCATTATGATATCCAGATCTTCTTGTGTTTTCTGTACATGCTTCTTTTTATTGACAGTATTTTTATCTGCTGTCTTTTCATTTACTTTCAAATCGATCTGTAAATTGTTGTTTTCCATTCCTGACATTTTTGGTTTTTTTGTTTTTTGTTCTTGATCTGCTTCCGCTAAATCCAATTTTAATTCAGTAGGCAGCTTACTTGGACGTCCTCTTTTTTTCTTTACTTCTGCACAGATAACAGTAGTCTGATCCTTATTTGATTTGTTAGTATTTGTTATTAAATTATCCAATTTGTTTTTCTCCTTATCTGAAAATTCTGTAGATTGTGAGACTTCATTTTTATCATTAGTTATTCCTTGGCATGATTGGACTTCCAAAACAGTTGTTTCATCTAGGCTGTCTCCTACCTTTACTTTCTTAGGTCGACCAAGCTTTCTCTTGATGTTCTCATTTTTGATACTCTCTACAACTATATTTTCAGCATTTGCATGCTTTGTATTTTTAATGTTAGATATTTCTAGTCTTTGTATTTGAATATCTGAATTTTTAGTATCATTCAAAATATCTTCTGTCTGATCTTTCTCTTTCGCTGATACTGAAATTTTGGTAGAATTTTTGTTATTAACAATTTTTTGTACATTTGTAAATTCTAGTTGTCTGTTATCTAACATAATTTGGGTTTGTTTTTTTGGTCTGCCAGGTTTTTTCTTAACCATATCAATTTCAGAAGAATTCATAATTTTATTTTCATCCCCAAATGCTTTAACTTGTGTGTTGTCCAATACTGACATTTCAATAAGTTGGTTTGTTGAGTTATCTGTCTTATTCAATTCTTCTCTATTTTCATTGTCAATGATTTCTTCTTTTAGTAATATTTCTGTAACTAGAGTTTTAGTCAAAGTATTATCTAGTGATATTTTTTTTGGTCCACTTCTTGGTTTCTTTGTATTATCTGTTTCCTTTAACTGTACAATTCTATGAGTTTCTGTATGTTCCTCATTAGAATTCTCTTTATCTATAATAATATCTAGCTGCTGTTTCTTTGGCCTACCTTTTTTCTTTTTGATACTATCTCTTTCATTTGTTTGTTGGGAAATAGTTTCATGATCAATGTTCTCTTCTTTTTCTACCAAAGAAACTTGTGTTTCACCTAAAGTTACATCTTGAAGTTGTTTCTTTGGCTTACCTCGCATTTTCTTTAAACAATCTTCATTTAGCTGAGGCTTTTCATTTAAGTCACTGATAATTTCTTCCTTTATTTTTTTCGTTGCTACTTTTTCTTTTTTGCTTTCTGCAGACATAGTGTCATTGAAGTATTTTTCTCCAGTTGTTGCAATTAACTGTTCTTTGTCTAAAACAGCTTCTACTTGCTGCTTTTTAGGTCTACCACCTTTTCTTTTTACTTCAACAGTTTTTTCTAATACTGCATTATCAGCTTTATCAAGAGTAACTTGTTCTGTACTCACTTGTCTGTTTTCGACAGACTTAGGTATCTGAGCATACATAGTGTCATTGAGGCCTTTTTCTCCAGTTGCTGCAATTAACTGGTCTTTGCCTAAAACAGCTTCTCCCTGCTGCTTTTTGGGTCTACCACCTTTTCTTTTTACTTCAACAGTTTTTTCTAATACTGCAATATCAGCTTTATCAAGAGTAACTTTTTCTGTACTCACTTGTCTGTTTTCTGCAGACTTAGGTATCTGAGCATACATAGTGTCATTGAGGCCTTTTTCTCCAGTTGCTGCAATTAACTGTTCTTTGCCTAAAACAGCTTCTCCCTGCTGCTTTTTGGGTCTACCAATTTTTCTTTTTACTTCACTAGTTTTTTCTAATATTGCATTATCAGTGTTATCAAGAGTAACTTTTTCTGTACTCACTTGTCTGTTTTCTGCAGACTTAGGTATCTGAGCATACATAGTGTCATTGAGGCCTTTTTCTCCAGTTGCTGCAATTAACTGGTCTTTGCCTAAAACAGCTTCTCCCTGCTGCTTTTTGGGTCTACCACCTTTTCTTTTTACTTCAACAGTTTTTTCTAATACTGCAATATCAGCTTTATCAAGAGTAACTTTTTCTGTACTCACTTGTCTGTTTTCTGCAGACTTAGGTATCTGAGCATACATAGTGTCATTGAGGCCTTTTTCTCCAGTTGCTGCAATTAACTGTTCTTTGCCTAAAACAGCTTCTCCCTGCTGCTTTTTGGGTCTACCAATTTTTCTTTTTACTTCACTAGTTTTTTCTAATATTGCATTATCAGCCTTATCAAGAATATTTTTTTCTGTACTCACTTGTAAGTTGATGCCTGAAGTTGGTGTTTTATCTAATTTTATTTCTGCGGGATATACCCTTGGCCTGCCTCTTTTCCTTTTGATCTCTATATTATGCTTTTTATTCTGTAATTTTATACTAGTTTTTTTAATATTTGCTGCGATCTTTGAACCAACAGTTTTCTTTATGGAGAGTACCTTCTGTTTTTTAAGGGGCTTATTTTTTATATCATTTCCTGTAACTCCATTTTCATCAACTGGATTATCTTCACTTTCATTGGTGCTTACTTTTGATTCAGTAGAAGGACCTGTTGGTTTTATTACTTCTGAATAATCAAGCTCTTTTTGGTTGGCCTTGAATGCTTCCTCTAGTGTTTTTGATTTTGAAATACTTCGTCTAGAGTTCAATATAATATTTGATTGGGAAATAATTTTTAGATCTGCAATTGGAGCAACTTTAGCTGGCTTTTTTATTGAGCGTAGTAGATTTCTTGTTAATTTCTTCTTATTTATTTTCAAATTCATTTTCTGTTTCATTTTATCTTTCTTTTGTAAAGTAACCAGACTGGATTTTGAATGTTTTGTTTTGGTTTGAATTTTAGAATCACTTTTGCTGGAAGAAATAGCAAAATGTGGCTTTGTCTGATCCAAATTTTCTGATTGCTCTTGAGAAATGTTTAAAGTAGATGGTCTTGTATTAGGAATATTTCTATTAGAAACTGTTGATTCAGTTTTCTTCTCAGATTTTGAAGGATCACTTTTTGGAACATTTGTTTTCTGAGTTTTTAGCTCTGAAGAACAATCTTTTGTTTTTAAGATATGACTTTTAATATCTAAAACTGTATTTGATTGAACATCAGAAATTATTTTAATGTTTGTATCTTTTTGAGGAGTTTCTAATGTTTTTGTAATAGCTTGAGAACTATCAGATGTACCAGAAATAGCTTTAGGAGGAGTTCTAGCAGAATAAACAATAAGACTTGATTGACTAGTTATTTGAGAATCAGCAAATTGTTTTTTCTTCAATTTTAGTGATTGTTTTTTTGTTAAAAGATTTGAGGACTTCAACAACTGTTTCTTAGAGGCTATCTTTTTAAAAGTCTGTACAATTTTCTTTACTATTGGTTTTTTAGATGTAGAAGTACCGTCAGATTTTGAGACTTCTTTATTTATGAAAATGTGAGAGTCTGGAACTTCTGTGGTAATTGTTTTAAATGTAATTGACTTGGATGGTTTCTTTATTGACTTTTTGGTTATCACTTTTTTTTGTCTGCTTGGTGAATTAGTTTTGCATTTAAGTATTTTTCTTCCATATTTTTTAATAGTATTGTCCTCTGATTCTAAGATTATTTTAGATTTAACACCTGTGTTAGGTTCCTGTTGAATGTTTCTATCAGAAGCTATAGATTTCTTTTTGATTAAGGTTTCTTGTGCTTCTACCACCTTAACTTTTGATTCTACCACCTGATTAGATGAATTTTTGGACTCCATAGAAAATGTACTTGATCTTAATATTTTTGGATCAGATTGTTCTGTTGATTTTGATATAGGACTATCAATTTGTTTCTGAAATTCTGTCTTTTGTTGCACAGTACTAGTATCTAATGTATCTTTGTTTTTATCTTTTGATATTATTTTTGTTTTTTCTAGTTTAATGGAATCATTTCTGATAGTTTTGTCAATTGCTTTCAATTTATCCATATCTGTTTTGAACTTATTTAACTCTAGATTTTCGGTTTTAGTATTCTTATCAACTGTATCATCAGACCTTAATTGTCGACGTTCTTGTGAAGATACACCTGTTTGTGGGGTCGTTTGTGGATCATTTGAGTAAAACCGACCAACAGCAACAGTAGCTAAAGTAGTTGTGTTTTCACATGTAGGCTGTGACTCTAATTCTGTAGGAATAGAAATGTCAGTGACAATATGTTTTGTTGGACTTTTTGTAACTTCTTCAAGGCTACTTATATTTTGATTTTGAATGTCATTTATGATTTTTATCTCAGTTATCTTTTTTTGAGGTAACTCCACTTTTGACTGTCTTGACATTGGCTGTACAACTGCAATATTCTTTGTTTTGGTAGCAGTTGGTGTTACATCTACTTTACAGGGTCTGTCAACATCAATACTTTCTATGTAACATTCTTTGTTTTCAGATTTCATTGGTGAAGAGACTGTATTCTCAACAGTATCATTAGCTGTTTTGGGAGAATGCTTCTTAGACTTTCCATTATTTTTGTTAAGTTCCTCAATATCAACAGGTTTTGAATTATTTCCTTTTTTATGTGGTGAATCTGACCTTAGTTGTCTAACATGAGATTGTTCTTGAACAGTATTTTTAAGGTCTTGTTTTTTAATTGGTGTCATCTTAGTATTACTTTGGAACTCAATATCGATAATTTCTATATTGTCTGTAATTGTTGAAGTTTTTGGTATGTTTCTCTTAGACTTTTCTATAGTGGACTCATTACCTTTATTTTGAGAATCATCAGATCTTAACTGTCTTTGATTTTGTAATTCACTTGATGTATTGTCAATATTTAAACTTCTTCCATTATTTTGAGAAAAAATGTCAGTTAAATTAGTTGAATCAGAATCTTCAATGGTTATAATATTTGAAGCATTTTGTACTTGAGATCCCAACATTTTACTAGGTGTTGGTAATGATTTCTCATTATTTTTACCAGTATCTTTGACTCCTATATTTTTTTCTGTAACTTTCTGGACAGGGTTTCTACAATGTTCCTCCTGTTGTGGTGATTTTTCTAGAAGTTGTTCCGTAGGTTTAACACTGATTCTTCCTATAGATGCACTTGGAACATATTTTTCATTTTTTGCTTGAGATGTTTTTTGAATGCCTATCTCAATTGCTTTTGTAGATTTTTTAGTAGATTCCGATTTGTTATCCTTTGTTTGGTTTATATCAGATCTCAATAATCTTGGGAAAAAGAGATTTCTTGTGACATTTTTGGTATACATTTTTTGTGATTTCTCTTTGTTTCTTATATCTTCAATAGCATTTTGATCAGCAGTTTTTTCTGTTGATTTTTTCAATTTCAAGATTAATGGTTCAACTTTTGGTGGAGAACTCTCTATTAATACAATATCATCCTGAGAGTTAGCAACAACATCAGCAAAAAACCTTACATTTTCGGTAGATTTGACTACCTCATAAATAATGTTTTCTGTACTGTTTTTCGACTTCGGATCTTTTCTTTGTTTTACTGGTAATTTGTCTAATTTGTTTTCTGGTTTTTGTATTTTTGTTGTTGAATTTTTTGCAACAGTCTTTGTTTCAGAAAAAGAACCTTTCTTTTGACCAAGTTCTGATCTTAATAATCTAGGAGTATTGAAAAATATAGAAGGAATTGCTGAAGGCATTAGTGTACGTCGTTTTTTTGGCTTCTCTACATTGATTTTTGGAGCCATTTTTTCTTTATCACTTGACTCACCATCATCTAAATTTATAATAGTTTCAGGTATAGCAGTAATCTTTTGTTGACTATTCCTCTGCTCGTTTCTGTTTAATCTAGGTGATGATCTAACACATTTAACATCATCTACAACAATTAATTCTTTGCTAGCAGAAGATATATCAGAATTATCATCAGTAATTAGTATAACATCATTATCAATTTTTTGTGTACTAGTATCCAAAACAAAATTGGGCATTGGTCCAGTATTTAGCAATACCTCACAGTCCTCAGTGGCATTATCTTCATTAAGTAAAAATATATCCTGAGTTAATTTAGAATTAAGACTGCTATTAGGATGATAACCATTATCAGAAAACGTACTAACAGAAGAAATTTTTGGTACATCCCTCTTGTTAATACCTTTCTTTTGTTTTTTGGAAGACAGATGGATATCTGTATTAGATTTATCGGAAAATAATGTTTGTTTATTAACCTCGCTACTACAACTGGGACGATTAAAACTATCATCCATTTGTTGCTTGAGCTTATCAAATAAATTCTGAACAGGATTAAAAGTTGGTACATTTGTTATAGGGTTTAAAGTTATTGTTCTGTTTGTAAGTACTGATTCAGAAGTTATTTTGGTTAGAGATTCTGGTAAAATCCTAACTGACTCCAGTGAGTCTTTGGAAGTAGTATCTTTATTATTCATACTGAACTTTAATTTAATAGCAGCTTTCTTTAAAGGTTCTTTTTTAACGGAAGCTCTAATTTTATCTGTATTTTTTTTACCTATTCTACCACTTATGACCTTATTTATATCTTTTTTTCTGGATACGTTTTTGTTAACCTCCTTAGTATTATTATTGTTTTTAAGCTTTTTAGATTTATTTTCTACTACTAAACAAGGCACGTTATTGCTAGAAAATACAGAAGGCACTGGTTTCAGCCTTAAAACCCCCAAGAACACACATTGAGTTATCTGATTGTCCTCAAAATGAAGATCATTCTCTTTAAGATTATTTATAAAACTTTTAATATTAGTATTTGATTTACCTTGCCTTTGACATTGCTGTGGCCTTTTCTTCATTTTATTCCGTGGAAAATGATTGTGGCATTAATGGATAGCACCAAGCCCTGAACTCTAAAACTTTCGCGGAGTTTTTCATATAGATTTTGGGCAGGGAAAACATGAATTAATATTTACACAAACACTTACAAACTAAAAATAAGAAAAACAGTAAATTCGCGATATTCAACAAGCACACATGCGTCTTTTAAACAATTAAATCGAAAACACTTGTTGCGCTTCCACCATAACTGATGACATAAAGGAAAATAAAATTTTGGTGGAGGAGACAGGGGGCGCCACCAGAAGGAAACATGGCGGTACCATTTTAGTTAAAAGTAAAATTAAGTGTTCGTAAACAGTTCAGTCGTTATTTAACTTATACTACTATTTTATTAATATGTGTTTTACACTCACTTTTACTTTTTTTATGGTTACCGTAAATTTCTTTTAAGAAAAATCTAGTTTTACTGGGTGGATTGTATTGATGACGTCATATTTGAAATGAATAATATTAAAAATTGGCTGTGATAAAGTGTTGTTGTGCTTAGGATTTATTAAAGTTTACTTTTTACAGAAATAAATCGGCAATATTATAATCTATATACAAATTTATTTATGCTTAAGAATAGCATAATTTAAGACTGAAAGTAAATATAAATTTGTTATACAAATTTGGGTGGATGTAAAAATGGCCTTGAATTAATGAGCGCATTCGCCAGTTTATGTACCTACATTATTATTTAACAAGCAACTTTCCCTTCTGGAAAATTTCAAATTAATTGATATTAAACTGTGTATTCCTACTACTTTAAAGCTGTTTTTTATTAATTACACAAAATTATCAATTTTCTAACCATAATTGTGTTTATCTACATTTCGTATCTCGTATTATGTTACTCGCAAGTCTTTTTGTACTCTGTGCCGGTAGAACTTATGTTTAAATTTCTTATTCTCTTTTTCTTTTCTTGATTTAAGTGGGATACTTCTTATCTCTGGCACTTCGTTGGAACTTTGTAACACAACCTGCCCTTTCATTAAATGACTCTAAGAAGTTCTGCCGTCTTTATAAAAGCTAACAATTTTCTTACAGAAAGTTGAAAGTTTTCTCATAGGTATTTCGGGTATACATCGGCATTTGCGATATGTATGGTAGTTTCTCCATTTGGCCTTTCCATGTTTCATTCTCCTTACTTATACCTATCTATGTTCTATAATATATGGGTTTTCTCAGTTGACAGTGTCCAGTCACCATATTTGTGACCATCTTCAACCCTCCTCAACTAATATCCATTAAACTAGATGAAAGGCTTATTTCAATGTTGTTAATGAGTTTTTTCGTATGGGTTCGCTTTTGTTGTGCTCTGCAATTGATATTGTGACTTGTTCCCAATATCGTTTGGATTTAATTTTTTACGGCATTTTTCAGAATTCAGAAATCGCGCTAATATATGTATCGAGATTAAATCGGGACAATACAAGACAGTAACAACAGTAATAACAGGAACAGTAACTGAAGATATTAATAATACATTATCTGATTTTTCCAACAATAATGAAAACTCTGAAACACTGAAACCAAATTAAATAAATTATCACCAACTCCTACACCCACTCTTAAAAACGACAGACCAAAAAAATCGGATTACCGATCGAGATTGTATACATGGACTCATGGAAGAACGCTGAAAATTGAAACACAAGCAAAAATAATATAATGTCTTGCAAACAAAAAATAATAAGACAAAAGATCAAAGTTGCTTAAAAACAGTGTATCTACGAAAAGAGAGTGTGAAGAAGATAATGTGTCTCGAACGCCAGAAATAATACACGCTTTTGAAATTAGCAAAAACAGAACAGCAGCTGGGAAATCCCAGAGGACTGGTAAAATCTATCTTCATACCTATCTCTAAAAAACAAAAACCGAGAAGCTGTGCTTATGGCAGACTAATTATTAGCCTGATTACATATCCTTTAGACCTTTTTACGAATAAGTCAAAGCCGAATCAGACATAAATGTGAACTTTTGCAACACTACGTGAAGTACTATTAAATATAAATCTGCTCTTGAAGAAATACGATGCGATGAAAAGGATATCTGGATTATAAAGAACTTATGTTGGAAACAAAGAGCCAGGGTATGACTAGGACACTACAGCAGATGCCATTGATTATCACCCTTGCTATTCAATCTATATTCTAATTATGAAACTAAACCTCATATTACTTAGTCGAATAACGTACTGTAGCGATATTAAATAAAATGAGCGGTTCGAATTTATATAAATATATTTATTTATAAGTTTACAGCACGAAAATTTCATACGGACCTTCCCATTGTCTTTGCAATTTAGGAGAGAAGCCTCGACGATGTTGTGGATTATAAATCCAAACAAGATCACCTACTTCATAGCTTTCATTCTTGCATCGAGAATCATATTGATCTTTCATTCTGTCACTGGCTAACTGGATGTGTTGTCGGGCAAGTTCATGAATGTTGTTCATTCTTAACTTCAGGCGGTCGACGTAATCTTCGCTTGCAACATGTTCTTTGAAAGGTCTGCAGCCAAATTCTAGCTCGCAGGGCAAACGAACTTCACGACCTAACATCAGGTAGGTCGTAGTCTGGCCTGTAGTTTAATTCACGGCCGAGTGGTAGGCCATTAGGTCCCAATCTCTTTGATGGTCTGATACAACTTTCGACAGGTGTTTACCCATCGTTCAGTTCATTCTCTCGACCATTCCATCTGACTCAGGATGCAGAGGTGCCGTTCTGGTCTTATTGACACCAATCAATTTACAAACGTTTTGCAAAAGAGTTGACTCGAAGTTTCGCCCTTGGAAATCGGCTAAAGAATTCTTTAACAAGTACCTCTGCAACGGTAGTAGCTTCTTGATTTGGTATCGCATAGGCCTCAGTCCATTTCGTAAAATAATCCATGTCTACCAGGATATATTTATTTTCATCGTTCGTCTCTGGAAGTGGACCTGCAATGTCGATTGCTACTCTTTCCATAGGACTACCAACATTGTACTGTTTCATGCATGCGCTCTTTTTACCAACTGGACCATTACTGGTTGAACACAGTTCACATTTCCGGTACCATCTTTTTACATTATCTGTATAATTCACCCAATAGAACCGTTCTCGAACCTTTTGCAGAGTCTTCGTAATAACAAAGTGTTCTCCTGATGCACCGTCATGCAACTGACTCAATACTTCTGACACTTTACTTTTAGTTAAAATCAAGTGAAGCTTAGTTTTTGTACCATCATCTTTCTCAAAGGTTCTATAAAGAAGATCATCTTTTAGCACTAGGCAATTCCATTGGCTCCAGTAACACTTGATTTCAGTACTACATGAACTAATGTCTTGCCAAGAAGGCCTTTCACTTCGACGCATCCAATCCAATACTCTTTTTATACATGGATCATCTGCTTGAGCGTCTTGTAGCTGTTGAGGCTGTCATTTATCATTCATGACGGTGGTTCGTCTCACGAGGCAAAGTCGTTCTTCTAATTTAAGACAGTGATTACAATTTGCACTGCACGGCCGTCTCGAAACGGCATCAGATTTTAAATGAACTCTTCCAGCCCTGTGTTCGATTTCGTAATCATATTCTTGTAATCGTTCTAACCATTTTGTCATCTGGACCTCTGGATTACGGAACTGTAGAAGCCATTTTAGAGCGGCGTGATCAGTGCGAAGAAGAAACTTTCTGCCATACAAGTATTTATGGAAATGCTCGCAAGCCTTCACTATGCCTAGCAATTCTCTCCTGGTAATGCAATAGTTTCTTTCTGGTTTCGACAAGACTTTGCTAAAGTAAGCGATAACTTTCTCCTGCCCATCTTGGATTTGGGAGAGAACACCTCCTATTGCACTGTTGCTGGCATCGGTGTCCAACACAAATTTTCCTGCCTGTCTAGGGTAGCTTAAAATCGGTGCACTGATCAGAGCCATTTGTAATTGTTAGAAAGCTTTTTGACACTCTTCGCTCCATGTATATTCTTTGCCTTCTTCTGTCAAATTTGTTAATGGCTTGGAGATGTTGGCAAATCCTTTGACAAAACGTCGGTAATATGTACATAGACTAAGAAATGGTTGAAAGTTTTTCAGGATCAGCTGTTACACCATTACTTACTACAATATGTCCCAAGTACTTCACTTCTCGTCGAAACATGTGACATTTCTTCGGACTTAACTTCAAATTCGCTGCCCGCAATCATTGAAAGACTTCTTTTAGATTGTTGGCATGTTCATCGAAGGATCTTTCAACCACAATTACATCATCCAAATAAACCAGGCATGTTTTCCATGTTAGACCTCTTAAAACTGCCTCCATTAATCTTTCAAATGTGACAGGGGCATTACATAAACCAAAGGGCATAACTGTGAACTGCCAAAGCCCTGATCCTATCGAGAATGCGGTTTTTTTCGATCAGCGGACTCCATGTCTACTTGCCAATATCCACTTTTTAGATCGAGTGTGAAGAACCAACGAGAACCAGAAAGAGTATCCAAAGTATCGTCTATTATGAGCAAAGCGTAACTATCTTTTTTAGTTACCGCGTTGAGCTGTCGGTAGTCAATACAAAAACGCGTTGAACCATCTTTCTTCTTTACTAGCACTACTGGTGATGTCCATGGACTGTTTGATAGTTCAATTACCCCTTGTTTGTTCATATCTTTGATGATGTTTTCAACTTCATTTATTTTCGCAAATGGAAGTTGTCTAGGTTGTTGGCTGAGCATCTCCGGTATTAATTTTATGCTTTACTATGCTGGTTTTGCCCTTATCCTTCTTATCAATGGCAAATACATCTTGAAATTCTATCAGCATAGACTTCACTTTTTTAGTTCGTTCATCATCAAGATCTTGGCACGTTTTAATAACCATCTCAACAAGCTCCTTTGGACACTAAGTTTTTGATTATTTCTCATTAGTATTCATAGAACAAATCGAAACCAGGGGAACACACTGTCCGATCAAAGTTCTTTTACTTAACTTAATAGCAGTTCCCTTTAATTCATCTCTTCTAGGAACGACATCTAGAATTCTCACCAAAGCTTTTGCCGTTAGGAACTCTGCATTGTTCACATCTTCGACCATCCTTAAACTTCCCGCTCGGCAGTAACCATCAGGTCTGGTCATAAAAATTTTCTTACTATTACCGGGTATTGTTACGTCACAAGTAGTTATTAGGCTGATAACATCTTCTTTGTCTTCATGAAACGGCAACTCTTCACCA